CAGTTAAAAGTTCACAAGGCCAAGAAAATCTGGAATTAAAACAAGTTATGTTTCCATGAACGGTAAAAGGTTTAATCTTACACTGAAAACAAAAACGGTTTCCCCTCCGCCCCAAAGATCTTGCAGTCCAAACTTCAGATCTGGTATTAAAATATAGATGTCAACAAATTTCAAACTGGAACGAAGCTGGTTTAAGTACTAATCTGATATACAGTCAATTCCTGAACTGAAATTGAGTGGATGAACAAGTAATCCGATATAAGGCAAGAGAATTCTCCCTTCGATAGAACAAATACCCTCCATGCATTTTGCTAGAATTCAACAGAAAGCAAAACCGGGACAAGAGAATAAACCAGGATTAATTTCCCAACCCCCCCCACCCATTGATTATAAAATTCCCTATTGCTCTTCGCTGTCCATCTTTTAATCTCATAGGATTATCCAGTGTTTCCTAATTGGCATTTTACAGAGTGTCGACTTACAACATTCATTTAGTGACCGTCCGAAGTTACAACGGTGACTTATGACTGTTTTTCAGACTTACGACCGTTGCAGCATCCCCCATGGTCATGTGATCAAAATTCAGCCACTTGGCAACTGATTCACATTTATGACAGTCGCAGTGTCCCTGGAGTTACGTGGTCTCCTTTTGTAACCTTCTGACAAGTGAAGTCAATAGGGAAGCCGGATTCACTTAACAACTGTGTTAAGTGATTCACTGAACAACTGTGGCAAGAACTGTGGCTAGTGGACAACCATTTAGATAGGAGCCAGCCGTGTGCAGCAGCTGCAAAAAAGCCAACACAGTTCTAGGCTGCATCAACAGAGGGATAGAATCAAGATCACGTGAAGTGTTAATATCATTTTATAAGGCCTTGATAAGGCCACACTTGGAATCCTGCATCCAGTTTTGGTGGCCACGATGTAAAAAAGATGTGGAGACTCTAGAAAGAGTGCAGAGAAGAGCAACAAAGAGGATGAGGGGACTGGCTAAAACATTTGAAGAACTGTTGCAGGAACTGGGTATGTTTCGTTTAATGAAAAGAAGGATTAGGGGAGACATGATAATAGTCTTCCAACATCTCAGGGGCTGCCCCAAAGAAGAGGGAGTCAAGCTCTTCTCCAAAGCATCTAAGGGCAGGACAAGAAGCAAAAGGTGGAAACTAATCAAGAGAGAAGCAATTTAGAACTAAGGAGAAATTTCCTGACAGTTAGAACAATTAATCAGTGGAACAATTTGCCTGCAGAAGTTGTGAATGCTCCAACACTGGAAGTTTTTAAGAAGATGTTAGATAACCATTTGTCTGAAGTGGTGTAAGGTTTCCTGCCTAAGCAGGGGGTTGGACTAGAAGACCACCAAGGTCCCTTCCAACTCTGTTATTCTGTTCTATTCTATTCTATTCTATTTTCTATTCTATTCTATTCTATTCTATTCTATTCTATTCTATTCTATTCTATTCTATTCTATTCTATTCGTCGTAAAACTGGGTGCCTTACTGGTGACTTACGGCTTAACAATGTTAAATCGGGGCTCAATTACGGCCGTAAGTCGAGGACTGCCTGCGCTGACAAAATGCCCACGGGATGTGTGTGACTGTCTTGCCTTTCGCAGTTCAATGCCTTCTCCATCTGTCTTTAGTTTCCCTGATTTTTTCCACGAGAAGACATAAGGACAGCTCTTCTTTCCTTGGATTCCTTGGCAGGGATGCTACTTTTACCGTCAAACCGGGTCTGTTGGAGAATTTTCCCCTATCCTGGAGAAAACTATCCACCCAACTTTCCTGCCCACACACTTAATGGAGATAAACAGCTGTTACTTATTCTTTAAGCGGTGTTGACTGCAGGCACTCCTATTTCCAATGCTGGAAATACAGCTGAGATCTTCCTTGGCTCACCAAATCAAATCACAGATGGAACGAAAGACAGTGGCCAACTGCTCCATCCGACTGTAACGCTCATCCCTCCTAATTTCCCACCATTTGACAGTCAGCTTACTTAGACAGTTCTCTTATCCATGTTTAAAGTAGGGAGGGGAAAAAAACCACATTATTGAATTCTTTGCCTTCTACTTCTGGCTTGTTATCTTGCAAACTTTTTTTCTTTGCTATGATGTCTTGTTTGTTTTGCTTCTTAGTTAATAATGTTTTTTAAAAAATATCCGGGCTACATCCTAACAATATTTCTTATTTCTGGTTTTGCAAGATTTGGGGGACAAAAGAAATGAAACGAAAGAGAAGGTCCTGTCAGTCTAGGCAAGCAACAGGAGACCAGTTCAATATATATATATATATATTTTAAAAAAAGATCTGTACTAGGATGAGAAAAAAATAAAGATACTGTCCTATCAAAATCAACTTTGCTTAGCTATTATGATCGGGCACAAGATGTGATTGCAGAATTAATTGTAATGGGTCCTTAAGAGCACTGAATGCTGCTCTTAAAAACACCCTGGTGAAGATTTCTTCCACTTCAATACATCCAGTGAAAGCAGAAGCAGTCCTCAATTTATGTCTGCAAGTCATGAAATGGGCCGGTTTTGCTGAAAACCAAAGCAAATGCCAGTTTTCAGGAAAAGAAACATAATAAAACACGGACACGGGTTTGTGGGATGCTGCAAATGGCTGTAAATGCGTTGATGAGTTAGTAACACGGTTGTTAAGCGAATCTGGCTTATCTGAAGGTCGCAAAACATGATCGCATGAACTCGGGACACTGCGACCGTCATAAATACAAAGCCGTGCTTCTGAATTTTGATCGCGTTGACACGGGGATGATGCAAACAGTCATACATCGCTTTCTTCAGTGCCCGTGTAACTTCAAACAGTCACTAAATGGAACTGTACTATCTGTACTATCAGCCGTGCATTTTTATTTTTATTTTGGTCTTTTGCAAATTCCCATTATAGGCCGTTTGGTTTTATTGCGACCAGTTTCCAGTTTTTAGCAGTTTTTTTTTTTCTTGCACTGTGGTAGAAGTTAGCCTTAAAAAAACGCGTTGCAACTCTTTGTTTCCAAGTAATAACAGGAATTGCTGTATGTGATTAGTTATGACTTCTCGGGGAAAAAAAAAAAAGAGAGAAAGGGGTCCTTTAAAACTAAACAGATGGAAGCCATTATCAACTAGCCGAAACGGAGCACGCTGATAGACCGTTACCCCCGTTCAAAACAACGCCCATCGTGATCTGCAGGGACTGTTATTGACCGGCCTAGAATTCCACCTTACGTTCTCCGAGGAAATCAAGTTGCGGTTTTGTGTCGTTCCTTGGCTGCAAATCTCACAGAGATTCGGTCTCCTCCCCTCCAAGGAAATGTTTGGATTTCCTAACCATTCTGCTCGGTGTATCTCGGTCCACACAGCCTCCCCCCCCCACTCCACCCCCCGAGGAATCTGGGAGTTAAAAAGATGCAGGCCACTGAAAATCCAGCCAGTAAAAAAAGGATTGCCAGTAACTTTCATAAGCCTCCAAGGGAAATTATACGTGTCCCGGGATAATGTTGCAGGATCCGATCTTCCCAGCTTTTTGGGCTCGTGCTGGAACCCATCCTCAGGGATCTTCTTCCCTGCCTCCAGAATATGTGCGCTGGGCTGTTCTACGTGTTGGATTTATATGGTTTCTGGCTGTGAATAGCTTTAAGTTGTTAACTAGGGTGTGTTGATGGCTGGATATTAAGTCAATAGTTGTTGGTTTCTTGTGCTGCCAAACTCTCCAGCTCCTGGGTACGGAGCAGCGGTGGGTTTCGCTTATTTTTACCACCGGTTTGCCACGCGTGTGCACGCTCGCTTTGTGCGTGCATTTTTTGTGTATCCGCCCGGCCTTCCGCGAATGCGCCTGGCCTCAAAAACATGGCTAAATAGGACGGCATAGCGCTGGAGTAGGTGGACGGACCCACCCGCGATCTCTGCGTCCGAACCAGCTGAATGCCACCTCTGGTCCAAAGCATTCAGAAAGTATTCAGACCCCCACTTCACTTTTTGTCAATTTTGTTATGCTGCAGCCTGATTCTACAATTTCATTTTTCTACACTTATTAATCTACACTCAGTACCCCCATAATAGGGATGAAATGCTCCCGGTTCAGACCGGATCGCCCGATCCGGTAGCAATGGAGGCGGGTGGTTCGGAGAACCGGTAGCAAAAATCCCTGCCCCCCCACCAATGCCCAGCTGAGCCATGTGATCATCAGAGGCTTTTTTAAAAAAAATTTAAAAGCATTTTTTCTACAACCTCTTCGGCTGAAAAAATGCTTTTAAAAGTAAAAAATAAAAGCCTCTGATGATCGTGCGGTTCAGCTGGGATCGTCAGAGGCTTTTAAAAGCATTTTTTCTCTTCAGAGGTTGTAGAAAACATGCTTTCAAAAGTTTTTTTTAAAAAAAGTTGGCCATGCCCATCCAGTCGCATTATCCCCCACCAAGCCACACCCACAGAACGGGTAGTTACAAATTTTACATTTCACCACTGCCCCATAATGACAATATGAAAACACGAATGTTAGAAATGTCTGTAAATTTATTAAAAAGAAAACACTTTCTGAATACGGCATACTTCACTTCATCCTCCTCCAGGGAAAAAAGAGGAGGAGGAAGAGGAGGAGGGGGACTGTAGGGTCCTTAGTGCCCTCTCTGAGCATGGTGCTTTTCTTGCAGACATTTCGTTGCCCAACTAGGTAACATCATCAGTGCTAGAAGGGAGTGGGATTTGCAGAGAGGAGGAGGAAGAGGACTGTAGGGTTCTTGGTGCTCTCTCTGAGCATGGTGGTTTTCTTGCAGACATTTCGTTGCCCACCTAGGTAACATCATCAGTGCTCTGATAATGATGATGGCTTGGGTAATGAAACGTCTGCTAGAAAACCACCAGGCTCAGAGAGAGCACCAAGGGCCTCTGAATGGAAATTCCAATCTCAATTACCGTCATTAAGCGAGGACTTCTTGTAACAGCCTCCTCCCTCTCTCAACCTCCACTCTTCCAATTCAGAAGGGTCACTTGCTTAGAACGAACATACCTGTGCAATATTTTTGTTCAGAAGGAAGACACCATAATCAAACTGTAGTTTCTCTCCTCCTTTTAGATAGAGCGGAAATCTGAAACAGAAAGAAAGGACAGTGTGAATAAATGATAAGATATTTTTGCTGTCACCCCTTCCAATAAAGAAACACGCAGGTGCAGAGTTTCCAGAAACCTGAAAAAATAAATGACTTTATATACGTATGTATTTATGCCTGCTGGTATTTGTAGGCTTCCTCCTGCAGAGTTTCCAGGTAGCAATTAAGAGTAGTCTGGCCAGCAAAACAGTGCCTACTACAACTGGTAGAATCTCTGTGGGATGCAATAGTGTCATTAAACAATGTACAATGGTACTTTGAAATGCCTCGAATTTGGTACCCAACGCATTTTGATGCAAACATTTTGTCCCGGTACTCATTATTTGTTTGGTATCCAACACACAAGCTAGAACTTGTCAGTGTCAGTTGCCTTGTGGCTCACTAAAGGTAAAAGGTTCCCCTCCCACATATGTGCTAGTCGTTCCTGACTCTAGGGGGCGGTGCTCATCTCCGTTTCAAAGCCAAAGAGCCAGCGCTGTCCGAAGACGTCTCCGTCGTCATGTGGCCGGCATGACTTAACACCAAAGGTGCACGGAATGCTGTTACCTTCCCACCAAAGGTGGTCCCTATTTTTCTACTTGCATTTTTTATGTGCTTTCCAACTGCTAGGTTGGCAGAAGCTGGGACAAGGAACGGGAGCTCACCCCGTTACGCGGCAGTAGGGACTCGAACCGCTGAACTGCCGAGCTTTTGATCGACAAGTTCAGCGTCTTAGCCACTGAGCCATCGCATCCCTCTGTGACTCACTACAGTATTCCTTACGGGAAAAAATTGTTTGGTACTCATTGTTTTTTGGTATTCATCATGCCTCTCGGAATCAATTAGCAATAAGTACCGAGGTACCACTGTATTTATGGCTAAGCCAACACCTATTTCAAATAAAAGCCGTTACCATATGCTTTATACATACATAAATTGTAGGCTGTGTTGTTTCTCTGTGTCATACAATATATGTGGGTATATGAATAATTTTGTATTTATTTATTTAGTCGTGTTTATGTAGTGTATATTGGAGGTGGTGGCCCTTTGAGAGCTGTATGCAACAAAATTTCACTTGAATATATGCTGATTAGTGTACACAAGAACAGTTTTTTTCCCGAATGGCATCACTCTGCCAAACAAATAATTCCCTCAACACTGTCAAACTATTTACTAAGTCTGCACTACTATTAATCTTCTCATCATTCCCACCACCCATCTCTTTCCACTTATGATTAACTTTGTTGCTTGTATCCTTACGATTTATATCGATATTCTTTCCTGATTGCTTATTTCTACCTCATGACTATCATTAAGTGTTGTACCTTATGATTCTTGATGAATGTATCTTTTCTTTTATGTACACTGAGAGCGTATGCACCAAAGACAAATTCCTTGTGTGTCCCATAACACTTGGCCAATAAAGAATTCTATTCTATTCTATTCTATTCTATTCTATTCTATTCTATTCTAT